CTGATATGTCTTTGCCTCGGCGGAGGCATGGTTTATAAGCCTGCGCCATCACCTCAGAGTAAGTCGTCCAAGTATTGGCATTGATCATGTATTTAAAGAAACAATCACGTAGGCCTGCCGTGAAGGCTTTGAGGGCAGTCTTGTCGTCTGCCTCGGCACACCGGGAGTATTCATGGCTGAAGCGGCCAGCATACATACGTAATGACTCGTCTGGCTTCTGGCGGATAGTGTACAAGTCATCTGCAGAGTGCAAGCGATCGGTTTGGAAAATGTGTTGGGAAACAAATAGTTTCCTCAATTCCTCAAATGAGTCTACCGTCTCAGGTGTAAGACGACAATACCAATTTAGAGCTCCACTAGAGAGGGTGGAGGGGAAGAGAAGACATCGCTCTTCGTCGGTGTGCATCCGGTATGCCATGGTGGACTCAAAGAGGTTAATGTGCTCAATCGGGTCCTCTTTTCCAGTATAAAGTTGCAAGCCAAGCTTTTGCTTTGTCTTTGCTTGAAGGGGGGTATTGAGGATCCTCCTTGTAAGAGGGCCAGGCCTGGGTTGGTTCCAGTCAGGTATTTCAGCCTGACGTTCAGCCTTCAACTTGTTTACTTCCTCAAGAAGTTGTAGGACAAGGGGGTCCTGAGCGGAGTTATGTGTCACTGGAGCTTTCTTTCGTAAATCTCCATCTCCTATTGGAATTAGGAAGGTTTGATCAAGGGCATGTGATTTTTCCCTGGACTCGCTGTACTGGCTTCCAGGGTATGTCTGTCGGAACACCTCTGAGTCCCCTGTACCCTCATGTCTCTCTAGGACTTGTTGCCCATTCCCCAAATTGGTGGCCGGCTTGGGCCGTGGCAAGGGACCGAGTCTCTCAGAAATCCTTGGGTCATTAATCTTTGAGCTTATATGGATGGAATTCTCTCGACGTTGCTTCAGGAAATCCCGACAATCACGAAAGACGGCTTTCGATCCTTCTGCCCCTTCAGCAAAGAGGTGTCTCCCTCCACTTCTCATGGTTCGGGTCGAAGCAACTGGGTTAAGAGAAGCCTCATGTTGATTATCAAGTCGAGGGGTAATCTGTTCCCTATCAGGGATATCTATGTCGAATGCATGTGACCCTCCATGTTAGAGGGCACCCAGTTGATGGTTGACTTCCACGGGGGCAACAAGCTCGCGTGTCTGAGCTTGCCTAGCTTCGTGGAGTGTCTCGAAGAGCTTCTCATATTGCTCCTGGAGGACCTCATTCCTCATTGCTATCTTGTTGTTCTGAGCTTCCAACTCATCGACTTTAGCTTGAAGAAGAACTCGTTTTCCTTCCTTCTTTCGTTGTTTCGTACTATGTGCAAGGGGGGTGTCATTCTGTGTGCTGTGGCTTCCTTCGCTTCCCATGTTGGAGAGGGATGCCTGGTCAAAAGAAAGTGTACGAATGATAGAAACCAGCTTGACACAGCTGAAGAGAGAGTAGGAATAAGTGTCGTTTCCCACAGACGGCGCCAAATGTTGATGCACAAAATCAGCGAAGACTTTGGTACAACAGAAAGTGTCAGGTTTTATGACCTTCGCTTGGTTGCTTCCGTCACTAGTAAGGATAAGTACGTAAATGAATAGAGACAGAGAAGCAAACACAGGATGTACGTGGTTCACCCAGATTGGCTACGTCCACGGAGTAGAGGAGTTCTTATTAGTAGTGAAGGGCTTACACAAGTACAAAGGATCAAGCTCTCAATTTAGTGAGTTCTTGTGAATGATTTAACACAAAATGGCATTAGGCAATATTGTGGGGGAATGACCCCTATTTATAGAAAAACTTGTAGCTTTGTCACATTGACATGTGTCATGTTATGATTGGTTCTTGATGTTGACACGTGCTGCGCTCTGATTGGCTTCTAATCTTGACACGTGTCGAGTAGTGATTGGCCTCTTGGTCGGAGGGGAACTCTTCTGGGTCCTTGACAGTATAGCGTTGGCCGGTGTTCGGTAGTTTCGGGATTGGTCAAGTATGGTACAAACACCTTCGATGGTATAATTCTCACCCTATTTTACTGTAATGTACTTATGCTCTGACACCACGTGTGAAATGAGTTCATTCCCGCTCACCAGCGCACTCTTATATTTAGGCACTTTTAGGTTTAAATTTATTCACATTTTCTACATCACTACACCTTATGGCTTCGTCACCTTCCAGGTGTCGGCCAGCACAGCTCGATTTGGAGTCCTAGTGGACATTCCGGGTCGGGGTGTGTCAAGAGACAATTATTTCATTTGCAAACATATCTCGGCGGAATTAAATATATGACGGGGTTACCCGATATTGTAATAATTGTTGATCAGCAAGAAGAATATACGGCTCTTCGAGAATGTATCACTTTGGGAATTCCAAGGATTTGTTTAATTGATACAGATTATGACCTGGATCTCGCAAATATTTCGATTCCAGCAAATGATGACGCTATAGCTTCATGCTTTCTTTCCTTTGAATGAAAATTAGATTAGAGCCTTAGACTCTTAATTTAATATTTAATAAGAGTATTTAATTTAATAAAACTTAATAAATTTTTTTATGTGTGGTGATCATGTAGTAGATATTTAATTCATAGGAATCAAAGTCAAAATCCGAAGAATGGATTTTCACTTTGGTAACATAAGATTGAATTGTAGAAAGAACCATCCAGATTGATTTTTTATCGATATTCCTGGTTACTAATACTAACTAGGAAATCTCTATTAAACAAAAGAGTGAATTCTTTCGCTTTCTTCCATGGAATTAGTTAACAAGGTCTTGCATCTTTCTAAATCTCCAGAAAATAATCCCCCACTAAGAATCCTTTTTGTTGGATCTTATTATAACGAATTTTTTTGGAGTTTTTAGGAAATACTTTAAAATTTTATTAAATTATGAAATTTATAAGACAAGAAAAGACAACAACTACTAATACGAATAATAAAAAGGTGGATTATCGTGTGTGTGTGTTTCATGTAGAAACATGTAGAAGGATGAATTAGAACATGTAGAAAGATGAATAGGTCCATTTATTTTTATATTTATTGTATTTTTTTAATTAATATATATTTCTTAAAACATATACTTGTAGACTCCGTATCCCTATTAAGTATATATATATACTCACTTAGGTATACTTAGTATAATATAACAATTATTTATGAATTATAAGATATCTTTATAATAATATAAGGATAAGGTTCAAATATAAAACAATAAATATAACAATGAATAACAGGTACAAATATTAAATTGAGGTACCCATTCTATGATAACTCTCAACAGTCTCCCCTCCATTTTTGTGCCTTTAGTGGGCTTAGTATTTCCGGCAATTGCAATAGCTTCTTTATATATTTATGTTAAAAAAAAAAACAAGATTTTTTAGATACAACAAGGACATATCTTATTTATTTATATATATATTTATGGTATAATATGCGGCTTCCTTCGGGCATAAGCTCTAATGTATGTGTAAACATGATAAATGAATTATAACTATTTTCAAATAGATTAGGATCGAGGAGAATTTTCTGAAATGTAAAGTCAATATATCTATATGTATTAGAAAATCATATGAAAGAGATGTTATTATTTTAGTTTGGATCTAAGAAATTCGATGAATTATCCCTAGGTTCACATCATAATAGTGCTTGTTGATGAAAGTTACTTTGGAAACAAAAAAAAAAAGTAAAAAAAAAAAAAAAAAAAAAAAAAAAAAAAAATTGTTCTTCTCCCAATTCCAAGAAAATGCAACTAGGTCTAGTTAGAGTATGAGTTGGCAATCATAACGTATATGGGTAGAACTTATAGCGGGGTCTCGAAAAAACAAGTAATTTATGTTGGGCCTTTATTCTTTTTTTTAGGTTCATTAGGGTTTTTTTTCTGGTTGGAACGTCCAGTTATTTTAGTAGGAATTTTATATCTTTATTTCCTTCTCAGCAAATTTTTTTTTTCCACAAGGTATCGTGATGTCTTTTCTATGGGATCACACGTCTTTTTATTAGCTCCTATATGTGGTGCACAATTTCATGGAATGTAGGTAGTGGTTATGATCGATTCGATATAAAATAGGGCACAGTGTGTATTTTTTGTTGGGGATTTTCTGAAAAAATCGTCACATATTCCTCTGATTCCTTATGAAAGACATTTAGTCCATCAGAATAGAAATTAAAGAGGGTATTTATGCTCGTCGTGTCCTTTATTTGAAAATAAAATGACAAGGAGCCATACCCTTGACTCGTACTAATGAGAATTTTACTCCACGAGAGATTGAGCAAAAAGCTGCTGAATTGACCTATTCACTTTACCCTTTATTTTGTCATTTTAGTTAAAATTCAAAGTTTTCAAACCATTTTCATTAGTTTTTCCTTAATTTTTCTATATAGTCCAGATTTTCAATTCAAGAAAATATTTTTATTATAATTTTTTGTAATGGCCGGGGCTAGGAAGCCGTTCCCAACTGGAGAATCCCAGGTCTGAAATTTTCGTATATAAAGGCAAGGATGACGAAAAAAATACTTAACAGGGATGGGGATGACAATGACATAACTTATGTATAATACTCCTTACAGTCATCCCCATTTTCAGATGATGATCAAGAAAACCAAGCGTAAACTTTTTTTTTTTCTCCATTTACACACTACAATTTTTTTGTCCCTAAATTCCTATTTAATTAACTCTTTCAAAATACCCAATTTAAAGAGGTGTTATTAGCGACAGCTCCTTATCTACTCTAAAGGAAAGAAAAAGTCTACTCTCCCCACCCTCCATATCATAGGATAACTACAATTAAACTGGATATGAATGATGTGTCATTAAAATGTATTGCATATTGGATATAGATTTTTAATTCATATCCAGAATATCTAAAACCCGAACCACCAAACATGCTTAATTAGAAGAATAAAAATAAATTATACAGACTAAATTGTAATTACACTTCTGAAAATTAAAAAAAAAAACATACAACCAAAAAAAAAATATCTCAATGAGGGCACTGCAATTAGATCAACGATCCTCAACTTCCAAGCCATACAAAACTCCTTGACAGCAATAAAAGTTTGAGTTGCAGTTTTGTTCCAATAAGCTAGTTTTGAAATACACATCCTTGAGCTTCATAAACGTTTGCAAAGTCAGCAGACTATCGGAGCCAGCCTGGTGACTCTTTCCGGCCACACGATCGACATTGAGTGCATTCGCCACTTTCTCGAGACCTCCATGAAGCCCTTGGCAAAACCTAATCATGTATTTGATGTCATACACTCTTTGTCCAAAGTACAAATCCATCATCCACATGAACCTCGTAATGTCGTGCGGCAACACCTCGTTTAGAATCTTGATCAAGAACCCGAAATCATAAGCACTGTGGAATGTCACCCATGTCAAGTTGGATTCCCTGGAGATCAGACCGGAATTCCTCAACAGAGAAGAGAAGTGGGAAGCGCTAATACCATTTTGCTTGTTCTCCAAGAAATCGATTCCTTGCCTCTTAAGTAACTCGATTGAGTCCTTGTTTTGACAGTCGCGATCGATATCAAAGTCCCTGAAGTTGAACTCCCAAATGTAGCAGGTATCAGTGCCCAAGTCCGGCAGGTTTCCATGGCGGTCGGAGAGTGTTAGACCTAATTGGATTATCTTGGTGGCGTTCACGTTTTCCCTCATGAGGTGGTATTTGGATGCAGGCGTCTGTGCAGGAATTTGGAAAACTGTCCCCGGAAATTCGGTGTCTAGAGAGACGAAGGTGTAGTGACGAATCAAGGCCGTAATCAGATGAAACTCGAATGCTGCGTTGTGCTGCCAAACCCGTCGAATCGCTACGCTCTTCATATTTTTGGAACTTTTTTTGTCCATTGTTATCGTCTTCTTTTTGTTCTTGGATGGACGTTGAATTAATGTTATGATCACCAAGACGATGCATGGCTTATATATATACACACACAGAGTAATTAAGTTTCTTTCCAAGAACAACTAGGAAATATATGTTTTATAATATTTCTCGCTAACTGATCATTGACGAAAAGGTTAATTTACTTCAAATATTAGTTCCAGGTGAAAACAGGAAACCCAGCTGAAAAGAGAACAAACGACAAGATGCAATAAGGAAAGATTTAATTTCCTAATTTCCAATTGTTCCCCAAACAAAAGACAAAAAACATAAATTTAATTATTTCTCTTTCATCGGTATCATAATCAAGCAAGACGGACGGTCACAGAGTAACGGCGGAAAATCAGATTCCATATTGTTCACGAGCTGTGAATCATAGTGGACGTAAATACAATTCATGTTTGTCTTCAATTGAAACCTATAAGTTCTCAAAAAGTAAGGCAATTTCAAATGGGGCGCATAATGAGGAATGGCTAAATCACAAACAAGTCTGTGGTTCAAATACAACTGTGAGAAACAAAATGGAACTTTGTGATTTGGTCATGGTTAGGGTTCTACATGTAGTTCAGTTTGAGTCCATCAACACTCCAACCAGGGCAACTGGTTGCCAAAGTTCTGGGGGCAATGTAATCGTGCCAAAATTCCCGAATGAGTTAGCGCTAGGGTGAATCGTTTCGTGTGAGTGAAACCGATTCTAGCTTCGTGACACTCGTATAAATGTGCATCGTAACATTCTATGAAAATGTTAATCCCTGTGAATCTCTTGTAGCTCTTATAGTGTGACAGATCACAACTATCACTAGGGTTGCATCTTGAGACTCCTCATTTTGTACAAAGCAAGTAATCATGAAGAAATTTGTGTTCATTCCAATTTAGGGACTTCTTTTGCATAGATTAGGGAAGACTCACATAAAATCTCTCTAGTTAATGCAAAAACAGCTCCAAAATTGTTCCATAAGGAGCACCTATGTTTTCTTCACAAGTAGGTGGGTTCTTGCAATTCCATATAAGGTAAATGCAAGTATATTTTCATCACTCTACTGAGAAAATATTTCAACCATGAGTAAACATGGAATTACTTGCACCTTGAACAATCATTTTTCCACGAAGGATCTTATGTCAACCCTATGGTGATATAAGAACCAAAATGATGTTTTATGGACATTGTTCGATTTGGACAATCATCCACTTCTCGGATAAACTACGCATTAATGCTTTGTGAATAACGGGCATACACCATTTTATTACAAATACTGATGAGTTTATATATAAACACCTCAAAACTGGTATTTATATCATTCTTTATTCACATACGTGTGTCATACATGCCACTACTTAATTAGCGCATATATGCACGAGAAGTTCAAGTCCAATATATTGCATTCTCGATTACGTACGAACTGACGTCATATTTTTGCACTTTTAAATGAATTATTTTGAATTATTAATTATTTTCAACCTTAAATAAATACCACAATTAAATATAAAAAAATTATGGCTACGTTTGGTATCGCATATTGTCTGCTTTTCTATAAAATCAGTATCTAATTCAAGGTTTATTAAGTGATTCAAATGTTATTTTCATGAACTTTCATGAGTTGTCACAAGTATTTATATACATTCATCATGAGTCACAGTTAGTGTATCACAAAATTCGTTAGTACTGTGACACACATATACATTCTAAATCAAACAACTTTGGCCATAGCAAACCAAAAGTTCATCTCCCTGCAAAGTTAACATATCTAGTTTCAAAAAGGACATGCCACAAATGATTTTTCAAAATGTGCTTAATGGTTCATCGAGCATATATTCGTAAAAAGCGTCTAACACTTCTAAACTTCATACGACCACATCATATTACTATTTTGAGTTGGCTGTGAAGTTGGCATAGGATGAACATTTCAATTGTATCAGGTACAACAGGCAGCAGTGCTCATCACGCCCCAATCCCGAGATACGTTTAGGATCGACACATGACGTCACCATGTACCTATTCATCTATCATGCCTCGCCTCTAAGACATGACCAAAAGCAAAATAGCAGTCAACAGAGCATTAACTTGTTCTTTTATATCATGACTACATCTAACCTTTGTGTTAGACTGCTTACGTACCTTAAGACATGATCAAACCATTTGTAATTCATCCTTTTGTTAAATCTGACAATTTTCATAATATTTCTAGCAGAAAAACTAGGGTTCCAAAATCACTCAATGGAATCTGCAAGCATGACTCACTAGATTCCAGACTACTTAATGAACAATATAATAACCAGGATTGTCATTTTGGCTTTCATATGTCACAATGTTTTCCAATCACAATTCCACATTCATAACAAATAATTGATTCCATGAATCAAAGATGCACACTATTAACATTTAACTATGTTGATCAACCAACAAGATCAGCTATGACTTCACTAATTTTCATAAAGACAACCTCTATAAGGTTTGTCATATATCCTAACTTGAAACCAAAGCAATAGCATTGTAACCCTAAGTTACAAACACAAACATAAACATAAACTTGAGCAACTTCAATGCACAATAATCTAGGGTTCTAGACCACTCAACATAACCAAATAGGGATAGGGATTCCAGACCACTCAATGGAATCCATCTTTAGAATGTGTATGGTCCCTCAAATGCAGATTAACCAAGCATGTGACCAAGTAGGCAGTGACCCCCAATACAGATTAACCAGGGCGTCACCCCTAGAATGTGTATGGTCCCACAATGCGGATTAACCAGGTAGGACCATAAATAAGTATCCAAAAATGTGATCCCCCAATATAGATTAACATGGTAGGATCACCTATGCTGTAATCAAGTAAGCAGTGACCCCTTAATGCAGATTAACTAGGCGGAGTCACCCCTAGAGTGTATATGGTCCCTTAATGCGAAATAACCAGGTAGGACTATGGGTATGCTTCCATAGTGTGATTCCCAAATGCGGATTAACCAGGCATATGGTTAACTCACAAATACTTTGTCGTCGAAGAGCCACGCAAACTAGAGAAGACGGAAACTAGAGGTGGACAAACGGGTCTAGGAACCGCAGGTCGGGGAGAGTACCGGCCGGTTCTTAATTTTAAAAAAGAGAAACAGGGCAGGGTGGGGTGGGCCTTTGTAATTTTTGGTTCAGGCCAGTTCCCGAAGTATAGGAACCACGAGTACCCGGACCGGCCCGTTTGTAATTGAAATAAAAGGACAATATTGAAAAGATCATTTCTCCATCCAATCTTAACCATTAGTTTTAGGTTTCCTCGTCTTCGACCTCGACTCTGTCACTTGACTCGAATCCTCGAACTCGATTCCGTCTCCCACAGTATCTCTCCAAAGCCAGTGCCTTGTCGACAACCCAATCAATCGACGATTGTTGGTGCTGCGAAGACTGGAGCAACAACTCAATCTCACCAGTCACCCCTCTCAAGTCTTATCGTCACCAACCATGTCGTCGTCGTCGAAGAAGATCACGCTTAAGATCTCGGACGGCGAGTCGTTCTAGGTCGATAAGGAGGTGGCACTGGAGTCGCAAATCATCAAGCACATGATCGAGGATGATTGCGCCAACAATGGCATATCGACGCCGCCAAGCCCGATGAGAAGATCTCCAAGGACGATCTCAAAGCCTGGGATCATAATTTGGTTTGATTCTAGGGTTTCAGAATTTGGGGATTCGGTTGGGTTAAGGTTTTTTTTTTATTTAATGATTGGGGTCAGTTGTGTTGTTTTAGGGTCTAGGGTTACTGATTTAGGGGTTTGATCAATGGGTTAGGGTTTTTCATTTTTCTTCTGCAATTTTATTTCTTTAGAAATTCAATTTTTTTTATTTATTTAGGTATTCATTGGATTTGGTCGATGTGAAGCTAATGTAAGGTGAATGATTACTGATCTAGAGAGTTGGCAGTGGAGATGGGCAGTTGCAGACCTTTTCGTGTTTGATTTCGAGCGGTGCAACCATGGGTAGTGGTGGGAGCTGTTCTTCTAGTTTAGGACATAGTTTGGACTCAGCCTTAAGGACTAGTGATGCAGCATCTACCACCACTACACAAAGACAAAACCATTACGAGGAAGCTCGGCAAGAAGATGACTAAGACAAGGATGTCCAGGAAGAAAGTGGTGGTCCAGACCCGGAACGATCAAGAGAGTTAAAGAAGAAGAGAAGAAAAAAAAAACCAAGGACTCGTGGACCCGCCTCAAACCAGCCCGTTTCAACCGGGCTAGGTAAGGTCCAGTTCCTATATTAAAAAATATAATCCTCGGCCCGGCCTGTGCCCATCCCTAATGGAAACGCCACAAATAATTGCCCTTAAGACAAATAATTGCCCATAAGCACATAAAGGGTCCAATTAATAAAACTCTTTTCAAACGATTGAATTTGGGAAAACGGACGTAAAAAACGGATTCAAGATGTTGAATTAACCTAAGAAGGGTCTCAGGTAAATTTCAAAAAAGTCAACAAAAGTCAACAAGAATAATATTCCAGGAATATTCTGTCCGGTCACTAGGCTGGGTCAAAGGCTGGTCAACAGGCCGGGCCTGGGTCAAAGGCTAATGGGCCGGCTTCTATGGCCCAAAGGCATGGGGTCATTTGGGTTTGGGCTAGGTCTTAACGGGTTTTGGGTTTGGCTAAGTGGCCCGAGGGCCTTAGGTTCAAATGACCCAAGGCCTGGGTTTAATGGGCTAAAAAGCTCATGTCATCTCAGCCCGAAAGACTAAGGTCCAAAGGGTTGTAATGGTTTGGGTTTTGGGGTTAATGGGCCGAAGGCCTTAGTTGGTACGGCCCAAGGGCCTAAGTTCACAGGGACTTAGGCTTGGGGTTAAGTAGGTTGGGTAGGTCATTTTTTGGTCGGCTGGTCTCGTCGAAAAAGAAAGTAGGAGCTTCCAAGCTCCGATTAACCCACAACTCAGCAAAAATCCATCAACCCTTATACTAAAATAAAGTTACGAAGGAGATGATTAGAACTATACCTATCGGTTAGAAAATGGCCTGTAACTTATGGGGTTTGCCGAAAAATATGGAGAATGCTTCCAGAGTTGTTCCTACGTTCAAATGTTACCAAGGTTCTCAAAACCACCCTAAAACGTGATCTAAAGGGATCCTAGAAAGCTTACCTTAGTTGCACTGTCAAAAATTTGTCGGTGACATGCAAGCACAGTAATTGTGCTCTAGTGCGGACCAGGAAGAAAGGGAAAGTGATCGAGGGAGGGGTGAAGGAGAAAATGATGGTCCAGGGGGTGGTGGTTGTGTGTAAGTATGTAAATGTGGGTGTGTGTGTAGGAGTGCGTCAGAGAGGAACAGAGAGAGTCGACAGAGGTGGAAGGTGAGAGAGAGAGAGAGAGAGAGAGAAAGAAAGAGAATAGAGAACCAAGAGAGGTAAGGGAGAAAGATAAGAAGATAGGCTGGGGGAACAACCCAAAAGTAAATGGGGGCCCCTTGGGCACACCTATTAAGGTATAAACCAATATTTCAAACAATTATCCTCCAACCAAGATGAAATTACAACTCTGCCCCTTTCGTTCCGTAAAAATCTGGGACGGGTTGTTACATATGTTCTTCCAAGAATATATAGGCACAATCTGCCTTACATCCAGCTTTTTAGCTATGCATCTAGAACTCCAACCAAGGGTTCACAATATAATTCGAAACTCCAAAAGATTAAACCATTGAAAGACAAGCGAGGAGAACTAGCCGAACTTGGCTAGCTCTGAATCAAGCACACAACTTGAAGGCCATTCTAGAGAAGTTATTCTAGAATGATCCACTCATGGTTTGTTGGTAACTACCCATCTTCGAAGTGGAGTGTACTCTCAGAAGCAATTAAGGGCAATTGGGGACCATGATTAATGGCAAGAAGGACCGGAACACTCAAAGCCCAATGAGCATAGTTCGACAAGCTAGGCTTAGGGCTATTAAAAAGATTACTTGTCTCCCAATTAAGAAAACTCTAATTAAAGTCAAACTAGGATATCTTAGACATTAGGCAACATAATCAAGATTCTAAGAGAACTGGGTATCTTATCATAGATTTCCTCCTAGATTGTCTCCCGATTTAATGAAGATTACCTTCCCTACAAAGACTTTCAAGATCACTATAAATACATGAGCATATGCATTTATAGGAGACACATCTATCTCTCTCTGAGATTTCTATATACATATTCTCTTTATGCCTAACAAAGGCCCTTTACGCCACCGTCTAGGCGTAGACATGTCCATGGAGAACTCATGTTCTTAACGCCCTGCCATAGGATATTCGGCAAGGATGGTTCGCACCATTATTCCTTAGAACTACACCCGTGGTTTGGTTCTCCTTCCAAGAAATATGTAGGCAGTCTTATTGGGAATTAACCACACCCCTAATTAACCTCATTCTCCCCTTACCAGAGATTAGGGGCAATCTCGATGAGTTTGGCCTTCATCCGCGGATGTGAGCGGATTGGTTCCAACATTGAGCTTTGCGCCCAACGACATGTATTAAATTTATCTTCTCTAGTTGGTTCACCTAACCGTCACCTAGAAACCATCTCCCGAAAATGCAAAGTGTTGATCCATACGACCAAACACTGAGATGACTCTGCGAAATGAGAACTTTCACTCTGCAATGCTCTGCGAAATGAGAACTTTCACTCTGCAATGCAAGCTATGCTAATGATAAGAAATCTGACGGGCCACTCAGAATAAAAAAATGGCTCCCTCTCCGAGGAAATAAGAGTCCCCGACGACTCTTCTCACTCCATAGATGGTGACATGGTCTTAGTAACTACATCATTAAGGCACTCCGTGGGCATAGTTGGTGGCAATTGTGGGAACCCAGTTTGCACCTTCCTAGAGCAGTGAGTATTCGAACCCACTCCAGGGCTCCGACCTAGAGTGAACTTAGCAACTAATCAATATGAACTCAGCAACTAATCAATCTACCAACTAAGGGTGCAACACCTTTGGTGGTTCCCAATACAATCTCACATGCCCACTTAGGACGAAGTGGGTATCAAAGGCACTTTGCACCAGGTTCAGTCACACTCCCCTTTTTGGCGCCAATTACCTCATCGCATCCAGACTCTTTGACCTCTGCCACACTAAAGCTCGGGCAAAGCAAATCACATGGGCGACGTCACAGGTGATGCACATTGAGGCAAATGGCACTGACCTCAGGCGACTGTGTTAAACAGTAGAGACCCTTGAATTGACATAGTCAAGTGGCTGAGAGGTAAGCTCCCACTTTCGCACAGTCCCTCCATGATACCACCGGTCCCCAAAATGGCTCATTCATCGTATATAAATAGGCATCCCGACTCCTCACAAAAGGTTAGACAATATAAACTCAACTTATACACTAACTACGCATTTTCCCACCTAAATCTATACATCACTTGATCATCGAAGTACCTATGCCGGGAACCACCCTCCCCGATGCTCGACTTCACAATCCTTTGTTTATCTTTGTGTTTGCAGATTCGATCATCCTGCCATGCACAGAATCGAGACCTAGGCAATATTACCTTGGTTGAGTGAACTATTCCAAGCATGCAAGTGACTTGTAGTTTAGTTGGTTAAGAGTCTTCACCCTTACATCTAAGGTCTCCTGTTTGAATTCCCCTCCCTATAGTTTAATATAGATATCTTGTCGTTTAATATAGAACATTAGTGTGTCGGGTCGTGTTTGGAAAAATATCTCACCTTGCTGAGAGTCGTGAGACCCAACCAACACATGAGACATAAAAAAATGAGTGCAACATGATCAAACCCAGCCAACATGTGAAATATGGGAGGATGGGTCTCACTTCATGAAGCCCAATCAATCTGTGAAATGTAGGAGATATTATTTTAACTTGGTCAAACCTATCAACACTTGAGGCTTACAAGAATAGATGGGTTTCCCTTAGCCTCACCTACCTTAGACATCTCAATTAAAGGATTCAAGTGGAGTTTTGATGGATTTTAATGGATTCATAAAATCAAGAAAAAAAAATGAAATGGTTATCAAACTGCCGATTAGTTTCTAATAGGATTAAATATATGCACACATTGAGAATCATGACAAGTCTAATCAAATACATTGAAAGAGACTCGTAACCCTTTTTTATTTTTTATTTTTTTTTTTGAGAAAATGTATGATAGTTGTTATCAAAAGGAGTATGTATAATCAATGAGGATAAGGTGCATACAATAAGCCTCGATAAAAACCTTATCATTTAAGTAAAGCACATAATCACCGCTTAGTATTATGATCTAATGATATTCCTCTTCACTTGAATGTGAAAGCTCTTAAGTTTGAATCTCATGGATGGCTGATTCGATACCAAACTAGGTTACCCATTGTGTGGCTTTGCCGAACTCTCCATCCTCTTAATGTAAAAATATCGATATACTAAAAATAAAAAATAAAATAAAAAAAATAAATAAAAAAAAAAAGGGTAGAGCACATAATCTGATAACAACATATGCCTAATTTTCTTTCAATCCAAATAATCATTATAGTAGAACCGCAGTGTTTCCATACTACAAATATTATGTATATTTGACCCAATCAATATTAGTTCACCAACAGAATAAAATGAACCACAATCACTTAACTGTGATTTCAATTTTCAATACTCTAATGAAAGGACAAGTAAAAAAAAAAATTAACTTGGCGAAAGGATTATCAATCTACATGCTAAAGAATTTTCAATTTTCCATGGGCAACTGAAGTCTTTGCATGCTCCAAGCTACACAACGCTTTTTGAGTTCCGCTCAACCCAGAACATGATGGACTGCCTCCTAATGTGACAGCAAAGTAAAGGTAAATGGTGCAGAGGAATGTCAGGAGTGCTAGGGCTGTTAAGAGGAAGCGGTGTCTCTGAAAGAGCGTCGACCAGCTACCCAACTCATTTTGTGAGAATTGCTTTCTAAATGATGCTGACTTCCGAACAGGAGAAGACAAAATGGTGTCAAGAACCATTGTATAATATGTACCGACCTTCTTCAGACAACCTGAAATTTGCACAAATGTGTGTTCAATACGACAGCTAAATCAATTGCTACTGCTAACAATACACTGAATTGACAATGGCCACAAAAGACGTCACACATAGAGATCAAGGACAGTTAAACAAAGAGATCAAGAGGATATAGTTGAAGATACATGACCATACCAAAAGTATGACTGAGTTTAACAAATTTGTCTTTGTTTATAATCAACAACAGTTGCATTTTGACTGGATACCATGAAAAAATACCAAGAAGATAATCATACAATTTACAAGTGAAATTCTCCAGCCATTTTTCAGATGAGAAATATGCCAACGAGAAGCATTTCCAACAAATGCAATTAATACCCTCAAACAAGTGAGGGTGTGAGAGAATTATGCTGTACGTGATACTCTCCCATACTGTAAATACTTCACCTCTATTGAAGATGGACAGGTACAACTACTGAGAGTTCATTGAGAACCTAATGATAAAAATATTTCATACTACCCTGGTTGTTATGACAATATTCCAGAACTTGACACTTCATCTTTGACAAAGCAAAGGCAGTGCAGAAGAAGAACCATTATGAAGCAAGCAATTCTGATAGCATTAAAATAAACTTGCAATACAAAGACAATGTGTGCTTTCATTCACCAGAGATACATCATGATTAACAACAGCTGACCTCAATTTAATAACAGAAAACAAATAATTCCACCTTGAAGTTTAGAATGCGCTTCATATCTCAAAAGACAATAATATAATGAGAGGCAGACATGAACAGATGACTTTACAATGAAATATGCGTGAGCCTGGTTTTTGAAAGTTAGTCCTCATTTTCCATAAGATTAATAAGTTGCAAATCCCTCCCAATTACTCGTACTATGAAAGCTACCCCTAATAATCAAGAGCCATCAACTTTCTACTGAGCTAAAGCAGCCTAACCACGTCACTGAGGTCAACAAAGGATTTCCAGAAAGAAGCATTAAAACTAATACTGGATCATATGGGTGACAGTGGATTAGAAGACAACAAAAGAGCCTACTGGCTCAATAAAATAATAAGCTCATGCATTAGCAAATAATAAATACAGGTTTTCCTCGAACAGGAAAAATGCATGAGAACCATACTTCTTGAAAAGGAATTAGAAAGAAAGCTAACGTCTGTAGAAATGTCTTTGCATGCGTTTCAACCTATTGCAACGTGTAAGGGAACACAACATTTGCAAAACCATACTGACTTACATATCTACAAAAGGGAATCTTTGAAGGAAAATTGCATGTAGAAAATGACATAGGCTTGAAAATGAAAATCTTTCTCCAACTTTACTATAAACACTCCAAAAATCGCAAAGTGCATCCAGTATATTATGAGACCAGAAACATTAAAAATGCAACACACATACATCTACCAACAATAGAAATTCGGAACTCACAAGGGTTGACTGAAGAAGATAACTGCTGCCACGTAGGGGCACACAAATAAATATTCTCCTTTCATATCCATAAAGCTAAATACAGGAGACGAAATTCTAAAACTCTTCAGATGGCAGATTGGCCCTAACTCAGAAAAGAAAAACCTCGTTCTGTGATTACAAGCGGGTCTAATTTTGTATAATATCAAAGCAGATAATTGGTATATTTAACTTACTGAAAACAACAAACAACAACAACAAAGCCTTTCCCCACTAAGTGGGGTCGGCTATATGAATCCTAGAACGCCATTGCGCTCGGTTTTGTGTCATGTCATCCGTTAGATCCAAGTACTCTAAGTCTTTTCTTAGAGTCTCTTCCAAAGTTTTCCTAGGTCTTCCTCTACCCCTTCGGCCCTGAACCTCTGTCCCGTAGTCACATCTTCGAACCGGAGTGTCAGTCGGCCTTCTTTGCACATGTCCAAATCACCGGAGCCGATTTTTCTCTCTCTTTCCTACAATTTCGGCTACTCCTACTTTACCTCGGATATCCTCATTCCCAATCTTATCCTTTCTCGTGTGCCCACACATCCCACGAAGCATCCTCATCTCCGCTACACCCATTTTGTGTGTACGTGTTGATGCTTCACCGCCCAACATTCTGTGCCATACAACATCGCTGGCCTTATTGCCATCCTATAAAATTTTCCCTTGAGCTTCAGTGGCCTACGACGGTCACACAACACGCCGGATGCGCTCTTACACTTCATCCATCCAGCTCGTATTCTATGGTTGAGATTTCCATCTAATTCTCCGTTCTCTTGCAAGATAGATCCTAGGTAGCGAAAACGGTCGCTTTTTGTGATCTTCGCTAGATTGCTCCGGTCATTAGTGTGGATAAGTATATAAATGGATAGAGATAGGAAAGCAAACACAAGATGTACGTGGTTCACCCAGATTGGCTACGTCCACGGAATAGAAGAGTTCTCATTAATTGTGAAGGGTTTACACAAGTACATAGGTTCAAGCTCTCCTTTAGTGAGTACAAGTGAATGATTTAGTACAAATGACATTAGGAAATATTGTGGGAGAATGATCTCGTAATCACGAAACTTCTAAGTATCGGAGTGTGGTGTCGTCTTGACTTGCCTTATCTGTCTCATAGGTAGATGTGGCATCTTCTCTGGAATTACTTTTCCTCCATCCAGGGGTGGTATCTTTAACTGGTGGAGATGCACAAGGTAATGTATCAATTTCACTTGAAGCTTACTTGTAGTTTCAGGCTTGGTCAAGCGCGATACAAACCATGTAGTAGGAGTCCCCCAAGTCGCCGAGCTAGGGGGTCTGCTGAAAGAGGTGACAGACAAGGTAAGCAATCAGAGCTCCGACTGATTGTTCACCTTCTCCCCATCTTGCAACAGCATGAAGGATAAAGAGAAGAAAAATGAGAAGAGATGATATGAGATACTTTTGCTTTTGAAGAAGTAACTTTCCACAGGCTTATTCTTGAACTGAGCTGGAGGGTTTTCTGGTTTCCTCCAGAGTATAAGGCCGACTGAAGAATTTGAGGGTCAAAACAAGTCCATCAAATCTAGAGTACGTTCCACCCTGCTGATATGGGATACTTTTGCTTTTGACAGAGAGTAATGGATGTATCGGCACGTGTGCTGTTACGCTTGTCTCCACATGCTTCCTTGTATCCTTCGCACTTGCCCTATCTGTTCCTCAAGCAGATGCGGAATCTTCCTTGGAAACATAAGATGTTGAAGATGAGTACTCGAGAGCAATGCCAGGTAAGTAATCAGGTAAGGGGTTCCAGGCAGTCAGTTCCTGGCTGGAAGCTTGATTCCAAGTGCTGACTGATTGCTCTCTTTCTCCTTGTCTTGCAGGTAAAAACAAGGCCAAAGGAAAAGATAGGGAAAAAGCATGATATGGGATACTCTTGCTTTTAAACCCTGATGATATGAGATATTCTTGCTCTAGTATAGCTTGTTTGCAGAGGTATTATCGGGGGAAAGAAAGCTGAATATTTCGAAAGGCTTCGTTGGGAGTGCCCTCTCAGATATGATGAAGGGTTGAGCATTTTTGCAGGTCTGCCTGTCCGTTGGGGATGGAGGTTGACATATATAGGCGTCTCCCTAACAACAAGTAGTAATGCTATTCCTTTACCCTGCTTGGTCATAGCACGGTAGTGGGAGCTGTCAGTTTCACATGTTTTAACTCTTTTCAGAGCACTTTGAAAAAGTGGTCTGTGGTATCTGGCTCTCGAGATTCGGAGAACGATGCCTCTTCGATTTTTGAGAAAGCAATCATGCTGGGGGTCTGGCTCTCGAGATTCGGAGGGCGGTGCCTCTTCGATTTTGGAGCAAGCAATCTTGTTGGGAGTGTTGTCTCGAATTTGAGTAAAGGTTGGGCATGTTTGCTAGTCTACCTTGCCACGAAGCACAAAGGTTGACACACAGGGACTTTCCAATTATCCAGCAATGGTACTGTTCCTTTACCCTCTCTTCGATTTTGAGAAAGTAGTCATGTTGGGAGTCTGGCTCTCGAGATTCGGAGGACGGTGCCTCTTCGATTTTGGAGCAAGCAATCTTGTTGGGAGTGTTTTCTCGAATGTGAGTAAAGGTTGGGCATGTTTGCTAGTCTACCTTGCCACGAAGCACAGAGGTTGACACACAGGGACTTTCCAATTATCCAGCAGTGGTACTGTTCCTTTACCCTTGTGGGTAATATTATTATGGTAGCTAGACCTTCAAAATTTATGTGTCTAAACTTTGTTAGTGCTGTTTCTTTGCTATTCTTTTACCTTTCTTGGTCAGAGCGATGTAGTGGGAGCTGCAAGCTTCACGTGCTCAACTTTGGCAGAGAGAACTTTGACAAAGTTATCTGTGGTACCCATGAGCTATTGTTGCGTGTGGGAAGTGGTGGGTAATTGAACAGTAAGATTCATGTGCTTTCTACTTCACTAGAAATCTTCGACAGAATGCCCATAATTTCTGCAAAGCTGAGTGTGCGTGTGACAGGTGCTGACAAGGCTAGAAAAGTAGGTGCCTCTTCGATTTCTGAGATCGGCCCTCGTGGTCTCTGAGCAGCCCAGCTTTTGAGAAAGTGAGCGCCTCTTCGATTGATTCGGAGAACGATGCCTCATCGATTTTTGAGAAAACAATCATGCTGGGGGTTTGGCTCTCGAAGATTCGGGGAGCAGTGTCTCTTCGATTTTTGAGAAAGTAATCATGTTGGGAGTCTGGCTCTCGAGATTCGGAAGGCGGTGCCTCTTCGATTTTGGAGCAAGCAATCTTGTTGGGAGTGTTTTCTCGAATGTGAGTAAAGGTTGGGCATGTTTGCTAGTCTACCTTGCCACGAAGCACAGAGGTTGACACACAGGGACTTTCCAATTATCCAGCAGTGGTACTGTTCCTTTACCCTTGTGGGTAATAATATGGTAGCTAGACCTTCAAAATTTATGGGTCTAAACTTTGTTAGTGCTGTTTCTTTGCTATTCTTTTACCCTTCTTGGTCAGAGCGATGTAGTGGGAGCTGCAAGCTTCACGTGCTCAACTTTGGCAGAGAACTTTGGCAAAGTTATCTGTGGTACCCATGAGCTATTGTTGCGTGTGGGAAGTGGGTGATTGAACAGTAAGATTCATGTGTTTTCTACTTCCCCAGAAGTCTTCGACAGAATGCCCATAATTTCCGCAAAGCTGAGTGTGCGTGTGACAGGTGCTGACAAGGCTGGAAAAATAGGTGCCTCTTCGATTTCTGAGATCGGCCCTCGTGGTCTCTGGGGAGCCCAGCTTTTGAGAAAGCGAGCGCCTCTTCGATTTCTGAGATCGGCCTTCGTGGTCTTTGAGCAGCCCAACTTTTGAGAAAGCAAAAGCCTCTTCGATTTCTGAGATCAACCCTCGTGATCTCTAAGCAGCTCCAGCTTTTGAGAAAGCAAACGCCTCTTCGATTTCTGAGCAGGCGCCTCTTCGATTTCTGAAGCTCCGTCGAGTGCAGATTTTTATAGGGGCTGGCATTAAGTTCTAAAGCACACTTGAATCTCCACCAGTAGAAGCTTCATTTTTGCACTTCTAAGATCTTGATTTGTCCGACCTCTTCTCTCTTCAACACCTTTGAAAATGTCTGGCCCCTCCGACCATCGTTTTGACTTGAACCTTGTTGAAGAGGCAGCCCCGCCTTCTCCAGACAACATATGGCGCCCATCCTTCGTCTCCCCTACTGGTCCTCTTACCGTTGGGGATTCCGTGATGAAGAATGATATGACCGCTGCGGTGGTGGCCAGGAACCTTCTCACTCCCAAAGATAACAGACTACTTTCCAAACGGTCTGATGAGTTAGCTGTTAAGGATTCGCTGGCTCTCAGTGTTCAGTGTGCAGGTTCTGTGTCTAATATGGCCCAACGCCTATTTGCTCGAACCCGCCAAGTTGAATCATTGGCGGCTGAAGTGATGAGTCTCAAACAGGAGATTAGAGGGCTCAAGCATGAGAATAAACAGTTGCACCGGCTCGCACATGACTATGCTACAAACATGAAGAGGAAGCTTGACCAGATGAAGGAAACTGATGGTCAGGTTTTACTTGATCATCAGAGATTTGTGGGTTTGTTCCAAAGGCATTTATTGCCTTCGTCTTCTGGGGCTGTGTACCGCGTAATGAAGCTCCAAATGATCAACCTCTGATGCCTCCTCCTTCTAGGGTTCTGTCCAGTACTGAGGCTCCAAATGATCCCCCTCCGGTGCCTTCTCTTTCTGGGGCTCTACCGACTGCTGAGACTTCTCCTAAGCAACCTTTGTGAAGGCTCCCTCTTGTGTGTTTATTTTGACTCATGTATATGTACATATTTGTAGCTTATCGGGGATATCAATAAATAAGCTTTCCTTCATTTCAACGTATTATTGTGTTAAATACACCAAAGCCTTCTTCGCTAAGTTCTTTGAATTTTCTTTTGTTGAAGCTTGTATGTTGAAGCTTTCTGAGTGGAGCATGTAGGTTGGGGTAGTGTTCCCTTAATTTCCCGAGTGAGGAAAACTTCTCGGTTGGAGACTTGGAAAATCCAAGTCACTGAGTGGGATCGGCTATATGAATCTTAGAACGCCATTGTGCTCGATCCTGTGTCATGTCCTTCGTTAGATCCAAGTACTCTAAGTCTTTTCTTAGAGTCTCTTCCAAAGTTTTCCTAGGTCTTCCTCTACCCCTTCGGCCCTGAACCTCTGTCCCATAGTCGCATCTACTTTCAAGCAAGATTCTGAAAATGCTTACCTAATGACTGGATGTTTGAGGAGCCAGTAAATCCAATGTATCTTTGTACGCATTGGCTGCTCTGTAATTTGCTTTAATTAATAGACTTGTGCTTCTTATGAAAATAAAAATAATAATAGTGACAAGCCAACATTGTTTATAAGTTAAACTTAACCAGAAAGCCAGGTTAGTTCCGCTTCAAATAAAATACGAATTCATAGCAGCACCATGCAGTCAAGCGAATTGTCACAATCAAACTGAACGAGAAACACACTTAAAACAACAGGCACAATCCAACCACACACATCACCCATCCCTTGAAAACAATTCCAAATTAAATTAGCGAATTTGCGGGGTTTTGTGAGATCCCCATTCCCAACAGCACATCATGCCCCAAAAACATGGAAATGGCAGCAGCATTACCAGTGATCTGAGGGGCATTAATCTAATTCACCAACTCAAGAATTGACCTCCCACCTAATGTTATTATCTCAAAGGAGCTAAATCAGGATCCTTTTTCGCTTTCACGTTGTTCTCACGATGCAATTACAACAACACCTCAGACGACAAAACCACTTGACATTTACAATCAAGAATCTCTAAATCAAACCCACAACCCCAAATCACGCCATTCTCACAAAACCCATATCCATAAAAACTCTAATTAAAAGAAAAACAACCATCAATTTAAAAAGAGGACAACAGAAAAAAGCAAACCAAAGAAAACCCAGGTAAGCAGGAGCTCAGATCCGAAGGAGATGAAAGGGAAAAGACGAGGGAGACTTACAGATGATTGGATCACGAATTTTCTTTTTCTTTTAGTTTTGTTGCCGTTTCCGTTGGGTCTCCTGAGTCGTCGTCGTCGTCGACTTCTCCCTTTTATTGTGCGAAGGGATCAGAAGAGATGAGAGAGAAAGTGGGGTGTTTTGACCACAAATAGATCAAACAATAAACAATAAACGACACAAACAGAAGGTGTTTTAGCGCCTTTTCTCAACGCTCGAGGGCCGTTTTAGGGGTGGTTTGGGTAGGCCTGGGCAAAAATTACGGAGAACCGAACCCGGGCGGTTCGGTTTTTTTTTCGGTTCATTTCGGTATAGGTTCAAAATCGGTTCGGTTTGGTGCTTAGTCGGTTCGGTTTCGGTTCTATGTTTAGTACCGAACCGTACCAAATCAGTTTTTTAATAAAAATTATTTGTTCACGTGGCTTGTTTCAAGTGGACGACCACTCCTCCACTTTTATCACTCTCAGACTCGGACTCTCACTTTTCTCACTCTCGGACTCTCACTTTTCTCAATTGCCGAAGTCATTAGGTCTCTCTCTCTCAATCGCCCGCTCCACCTCCTCCTCTCCAATCTCTCACGATTTCACGGTCTCACCTCCACCACAACCATCTTGACATCGTCTTCTCTCATGGTAAGTCAATCTCTTGAATTTGTTTGCATTTTATAAAATTAGGGTTTTAATTTTTAGATTCAAATTGGGATTGGAATTGGGGTTTCTCTGAAATTCAAATCTCTTTCGGTATAATTTTTTTTCTTGTGAGGTGATTTCTGATTGTGCATAACTGTAACCCTTTAGGACCGTAGAACTTGTAGTTCAAGCAGCCTTAACTTAAGTGTTTCTATCTGGGATAACTTGTAGTTCCTGGTTAGGTTTATGTTGCTCGCCAAAACAGAACTAATTGAGGTTTTGCATGAGCAATCAAACAACATACAGATTGTGGGAGTTAAATTTATTTAGTTATTTCTCCTTAGTATTTCTTTGTGTGATGAATTTGCAGTACAATTGTTTGTAATGTAATGGGGCTGCTGTCAATTTATTTGTCATTGTCTATTTATTTGTCATTGTCAATTTAGTATTTCTTTGTGTGATGACTATGCAGTACGATTGTTTGTAATGTAATGGGGCTGCTGCCAATTTATTTGTCATTGTCAATTTAGTATTTCTTTGTGTGATGACTGCTGCCAATTTATTTAGTTATGGAATCGGATGGTTTTGAGTATCTCATTATTTGTAATGTAATGGGGCTGCTGCCACAGAACCAAATCAATCCCATCATTTGTAATGTAAATATTGGTGTGATGACTATGCAGTACGATTGTTTGTAATGTAATGGGGTTGCTGTCATTATTTTTTTGGACATAATGATTCACAAATTGATATTTTTGTATTGATTGGATGCAGGCTTCGGACCGTGTAGATTCTATAGATGATGCAATTGATTTGGAATATGAATCGGGGGGAAGCAAATGTGAGGCCGAAAGTGAAGGAGATCAAGAGGAGGTAAGTGTCTCCCAACTCCTACAGGGTAAACGTAGTAAGGTTTGGGAGCATTTTAGGCCTTATCAAGTTAAGACCCTAATAAGCCTCAAGGATCGAGAAGGGAATGTTGTAAAAGATGAAAATGATGAACTGGTAATGGTTCCACATGTAAGACTTAGGGCTAAATGTGTCTATTGCCCGGAACATACAAATGATGGTGACTATGCGGCTGATTCAAGCACTAATGATACATCTGGAATGAGAAAACATCTTAATCGACAATGTAAATATTATCATGCCAACTTAAGGAAAAATCAAAAACTTCTTTATGAGGAGAAGAAAGGGGGTAAAACTTTGGTTAATAGGGAGTTTAACCAATCCGATTGTTTGGAAGCATATGTGGAGATGATTGTTCTTGATGAGGTACCCTTTAGTACCGTAGAAAAGATAGGGTTCAATAGATTTTGTAGTGTTGCATGTCCATTATTTCGTGTGCCTTTTAGGAGGACTCTTGTTAGAACTTTCCTTAGAATGTATGCACAATCTAAGGATAGTTTGAAAAAGGAATTGCATGCGCACCGAATTTCTCTTACCATCGACACTTGGACAAGCACTCAAAACATCAATTATATGGTTCTCACCGCACACTTTATTGATGATGAATGGAATATGCATAAGAGGATCATTAATTTTTGTCTTATTGCTAACCACACGGGAGCCACAATAGCTAAGTTGATTGAAACTTGTTTGTTGGAATGGGGCATAGATAAAGTGCTCACCATCACGGTGGACAATGCTTCCGCAAATAAAGTTGCATTGGATCAACTTAGGTCAACGATGAATAGGTGGGAAAATTCACAAGCCATTTTGCATGGGGAGTATTTACATGTGAGGTGTGTCGCTCACATAACCAATTTAATTGTGGGTCAAGGGATGAAAAGGCTAACCAAATGCCTCTTAGCCATAAGAAATTGTGTGAGATTTGTGAGGAGCTCTGCACAAAGGTTAGAGTATTTCAAGCAAGCCGTGTTTATGGAGAAGTTAACATGTAAAGCAAGTGTTTGCTTAGATTGCTCCACAAGATGGAATTCCACATTTCATATGTTGAAAGTAGCCATAAAGTTTAAGAAGGTCTTTGCTAGGATGGGGGAGGAAAGTGATACTCCTTTTAGTGTGTATTTCAAAGAATTTGAAAAAGGATGAAGATGGAATAGTAGTTATTAAAGGTCAAAGAAGGGTTGGACCACCAACTGGAGAAGATTGGGAAAAGGCGGAGGTGTTTGTTCGGTTTTTGCGGGTTTTTTATGAGGTGACATTACGGGTGAGTCATTCTTTGATCCCCACGGCTCATACCGCTCTCCATGATGTTATCAAAATAGAGACGGCTATCAAGAATTTGGTTCCCCCACCCAATGTGCAAACTGGTTCACCAATAGAGGTACTTTTAAAGCAAATGGCAACCGACATGAGAGCAAAGCATGACAAATATTTTGGTTCTTACCTTCAATTGAACAATTTGCTAGTGGTTGCTCTTATTTTAAATCCAAGGTTCAAGTTAAGGCATGTCACTCACCTCCTTAAAAAGCAATTATTGGAAGTTGATGTACATTTGAAAACTAAGGAGATAAGAGATGTGTTGGATGCCCTTTACAAAGAATATGCCCCAAGGGTTGATGGGGGGAAGCACATGAAGGTCCCCACACCTCCTCGAGAGCCTTCTTCTACTTCACGTGTTGTTGAATCCTTTGAAGATGATTGTGTAGATGATTGGATTGATTTTGTAGAAGAGAGTGAGGAGCAAGTGGTGGGAGATAAGGTGGATTCATATTTGTTGGATCCTTTGGAGAAGGTGGGCAAAGAAACCAAGGGTGTTTTTAAAATTCTTTCATGGTGGAAGACTAATGGTTGCAAATATCCTATATTGGCGGCCATTGCAAAAGACATATTTGCTATTCAAGCATCTACCGTGGCTTCGGAGAGTGCTTTTAGTACCGGGGGGGGAGTAATTTCGGATTTTAGGAGTTCTTTAACTCCTAAATCGGTGGAGGCCTTAATTTGCATGCATAATTGGATGAGAGGTGATGGTATTATCACCTTAGAAGATGATGCACCTTCGTTGGAGCACTTAGAGTTCTACGAAAGTATTGAAGTGGGTAATTTCTTATTTCTCTTCTTAGTTCTTGTTTGTTATAATTTTTTAGATTTTATTCTTTGTATTTACAAGTTGTCTATATTTTTGTACTATTGTAGAGTTGTTGACATCAAGCATCTCTTCTCTCTCAATTAATAATCCGGAATAACAAGCGTCATCTTCACAACCTCTTACCCGACCTTCTCAAGCATCCGCTTCACAAGCTTCTACCCGACCTCCTCGAGCTTCAAAAGGTGCTCAATCAAAGGTCCCTTCAAAGCCTCACATACCTCTAACCAAGGGTGTCAAGCGTAAGGCCCCTAAAGGGTAATTGCTTTTATTTTATATGAATTGAACTTATTAGTTATTAAGGCATTTAGTTTGATGTTTGCTATTACATTTGGGTTGTATTAATGCCATAAGGCTTTGACTTGAACTTTGATTTTTCCTTTTGGTTTGTACTAATGCCATAAGGCATTTACTTGAACTTTGTTGTTGGATTGAATTTGTTTATGTTTGATGTTGTTGAATTTAATTTTTTGATGTTTGATGTTGTCGGATTGAATTGTTGATGGGATTGAATTTTTTGGATGTTTTCCCCAACCAAATGGTCATATTTTACTTTGGCAAAGGGAAGGAGAGAGGGAGATTGCATATATATAAAGCTAGCATATATTTTCAAGCATCCTGAGCATAAGTAAGGTATTTTCAAGCATTTTTTTTTGGGCCAAAAATTGATTTGGGCCAAAATCTGTTTGTGAATCTGGCCAAAAATTGATTTATGTTAATTTTGGGCCAAAATTTGATTTGGGCATTTTTTTTTACAAAATTTGAAAAATAGGCCTTGTTCCTCATAGGCCCAAAACCGAACCGAACCTATACCCATACCGAACCGAACTGAACCTATTAGGTTCGGTACTACATCGATACAACCATTCATACCGTACCGAAAGTTTGTTACGGGTTCGGTTTCGGTACTACCTCGGTACCGAACCGTGCCCAAGCCTAGGTTTGGGAGTGAGGTGCTTAAAAAAAACACTCATGAAAAAAAGCTGTGAGGGTTTTAGGTGTTTGGTAAATTGAAAAAAAATGGCTTATTTTGGAAGCTGCTGTGAGAATAAGTTGAAATCAAAGGAAAAAGCTGAAGCTGCTATTTGTAGCTTTGGAAAACTGGTTTTTTTTCAAAGCACACGGAGCTACATTGCTCCTTCAATGAAAAGACTCAATATCAGACTGCTTTGTTTTTCAAAAGCACTTTTACAAAAAAGTTTACCAAACACTCTGCTGATTTTTTTCACAGCCGCTTATTCTCACAGCACAGCCGCTTATTCTCACAGCAGTTTTTTTTCAAAGCATAGCAATACCAAACCAGCCCTTAATATCCTAGATAGGCGCATCGCGCACAGGCGTTAGTGCGTTTTCCTTCCTTTCATTGCTATCGCTTTTGCTTAGGGTGGTGCTATCACTCGTTTTGCTTAGGGTGGTGCTATCACACGTTTTTTTTTTCACCTCTCAGAGCAACTTCACCGTTGCAAATGCCCTCTACGGCTAT